TTCGAATTGTATAAGCCCTGATTGCTATTTATGTTTTACTTGGTTATTTAATTAACCAAAAAAATTACATCTTCATTAATAAAAATTAAATTCTTAACCAAAAAAATTATATATAAACTAGGCAAACGTGCATTGCACGTTGCTTAAACCTAGTATATATATATATATGAATTTATCTCATTTATTATTGGGAAAATTAGGCCAATTGCCCTTAAAAAATACACTTTTGATTAATACCTTTCAAACTAATTAAAATTATAATTACCGTATTAATTACTTCCAAACCTCAAAATACAGAAAACCCAAATCAGGAGGAGGAAGCCCGTGAATGAGAAAACTCCGAGACACCTTTGTTCCCAAAGGAGGATAATGGAGTCTGGTTTACTTCCAAAGGAGGATGCGAAGAATGTTTTTTGAGAAAAAACAGAAAAAAGCCAACACTGGTACTGTTGTCAGGGTGGGTGACGGAGGTTATTGGGGTATCAGGGACGGAGATAGGGGTGGGCTACCACCCCCAGCCCAAGCCAAATTTTGTTAAAAAATAAAAATAAAAATTGGTTATAATCCCTTTTTTCTACTGTCCAACCAAGTAGCCCCCCGTACTATTTAATCCTCGTTCTCCCACTGTGGGGGTATGATGGTGTTTAGAGATAGCGATAGAGTTTTGGTGGGTGGTTTCGTGAAGAGGGCCATTGGGTATTTTACAGTCAAGGATGCAGAGGTGGTGGCGCTGATGGAGGACTTCTCTTTGGTGTTGCAAATGGCTGTCATCGATTGTTTCTTGAATATGACTCTTAGCGGATAATCCAGAGCTTGGCTGCTGATTTTCATTTTGCACCGAATGAGGCGGTGTTGATTGACATTGTTAATTTGTTGTAGAAATTTGTTATTTTCATTCATTTTCGTAATACCATCTGCACTTGTTAGGCTGAATGGTCTCAATGAATGGATAATTGTATCGTTCACGACTGAATTAGTTCATTGCTAATTATTGAGTATGAATCAATTAAAATTGTATATGTGAAGCTAATGCTATATGGTAGAATGTGTCAATTGGCAATGCACATCTTTCTGCATTATGGAGTTAAGTGTCACTGAATTTTATTTTTCTCGTTTTTTTTTTTTTTTAGTTTTGTCACTTTTGAGTGTTAGTCACTTTTTATTGGGTCACTTTTTTGAGCTTGTCACCTTTTTTTTGAATTTTGTTACTTTTTGAGCGTGTCAATTTTTTTTTTATTGTCTATCATTTTTTTAATCTGTATAACTTCTTTTAATTTGTCACTTTTTTGAATTCATCGCTTTTTTAAATTTTGTCACTCTTTTAAATTTTGTCATTTTTTTTTTTTAGTTTTTTTTGTCACCTTTTTAAAGTTTGTCATTTTTCAAAAATATAAAAAAATGAAATAATATGTTATATTTTCCTAACATAATCATTATGTGAATTGACCTAAATGTGGTTATTATTTTGAGAACATGATTATCGATACTGCACAAATGAATGGTACTATTTTGGTATTTAACGGTATTTTTGTAGGTACCCCTTTATTATTTATAGATTCAAAAAGTCTATAGTCGTAGGCCCACTTGAGATGACCCACGCTGCCGACCAGTCCATTAAAAATGGGTAATTACTCCACAGCCCACCTTCTTTTGAGCGGTTTGTTGTAACGGAAACTCCAATTTGACTCATCCCTCGAATGAGTTAACGCTCAAGATATGCCCAAGCCGGCCAGGCTTCTCTCAAGCGATATTAGCCGTAGATATTGCACGCATGATGGAATTGACGATCAAGATACACTAGGTCAAAGATTCTCTATTGTCCCGATTATAAGGAGAGAAAATCTTCAATGTCCTCAATCTGTCGCTTTTAGTGCTGTATTCAACTATTCGACATTTCCTCCGTTGGTTCAATTTCTGTATCTAGAAAAAATCGTGAATCTCGATGATGGCGAAGGAGATTCCATGCTTCGAGTTGAACACCGGAGCAAACATTCCCTCAGTCGGCCTTGGCACGTGGCAGTCCGAGCCTGGCCTCGTCGGTCAAGCTGTTGAAATCGCCGTCAAGGTCTCTCTACCTACATCATGTACATCATATATGCCGGTCGTGTGTATATGAATATGTGTATCTCTTCGTGTGTTATAACATTTATCTTCACTGGAACTTAATTGAACTTGTATGTGGAAATATATGAGCGCCTTTTTTCCCCCCTTGTGAACTCGTGCATATCGAAATGTTGGTCGTGTTTATTTTGTTCCAGTTGTGGCCTGTGAGTAGGTTTTTACGCGATTAAATAATTATGTAATTGATATTTTTTAATGATTTTAAATGTGTAATGAGATTATTTAGGACATTTAGAGTCTAGAGATGTGCGCACCAGAATCTTTGAGCCAATTTTGAAGCGGATTTTTGTAGAAAATGTTTTGGGGTTTTGCTTCCACTCCAATTTCAGCGACTTGATTGAACAAAAATAGGACATTAAAAAAGAATTGAAGAAAAATGTTTGATGCGAAGCAGCACTGACCAATTGAACATGGGGTGGGTCTAATGTATAAGGGGGTTGGCCCCCAAAGGAATAGTGAAGGGTGGATATTTGGGCCTGATCCTGGGTGATATAGAGCTTAATTGCACATCTCATATCGACTATAGCTTTTGGGAAAGGTGGTTGCATTCCGTACATCAATGTTTGTCCAGAATTTGTGTTGATATATTGGCTGGTAAATTGCTTATAGTGCTAAGTAATGTTCAACTGCTAGAGCCTAGGTGTGGACTACTTGCTTAATATCAGATCGATCATTGCATAATTCCGTATGTCGAATATTTGTTGCAGCCTTCATACATTTTTTATGTTATTAATTTTTCTGTTAGCCAATGCATTAACTTAGAGAAACAGCAATGGCGACTGTGGTGAGATTGTTATATCATTTCTGGTGATTATTATGCTGAGATTGAATCATGAAGATGGAAAATGTGAGAGTCGAAAGCTATAAATGTTTGGTTTTATTCTGCTTAAGTTTGATATCAATTGTGGTTAGCACAGATATTTTTTCATCTTATGCATGAGCAGATGAAATTTAACGGAAAATATAGCCACTGTACCGTGAAATTTTTTAGTGCAAATTCTTAGAAATTTCTAGTTAGGAAGTCTGAATTACTGTCTTTCTGTAATATTATAGAAAACTTTCAGTTAATCAATCTCTAGTACTTTTATGCAGGTTGGGTACCGCCATATTGACTGTGCTCGAGCGTATGGAAATGAAAAGGAGGCATGTTTTTCATTCTATCCCTGTTATTCAGGCATAAAATCCATTTTTATTCTATGTGAAGATGCGTTAGTAAGCTGTGTGCGTGTTTACTGTTTTCTCTTCTCCTGAAATGATAAATGTAATTTAACTTGAGGGTAGCGGACTGGTACTTCACTGGCAGACTGCCTTGGAAAATATCTTTAATAGCTTAAAGATTATACACAACAGTATCAAGGAGTTAATGACGCTTGTGCCCCATTTTGGTTCAAGATACTTTTAGGGTCAAAATGTGACTCCATATTCACAGGCGCCATGACTATATATATGTATGTGAGACTCATCTTCTGTTTCTTCTTTGCAGATAGGTTCAGTTTTAAAGAAGATGTTTGATGATGGAGTTGTTAAGAGGGAGGATTTATTTATTACCTCCAAACTCTGGTAATCGAATTATTTTGACAAGTATTCAAGAAGTGATCTAGTTCTGACTTCATTTTGGAGAATGCAGAACTCCCGTGTGATTTTTTAACTTTTGAATATGATTAATTGCTATTTAAAGCTTATTGATGAAACTTGTTAATGTGAGACACTTCAATTTGAAGTGTAACTAGTACATCTTCCATTATATGGGGGCAGAAAATAGTTTTCCACTATAAGGGATGTGCATTGTGCAATTGTACCTTCACTTTTGTAATCTGTATGGGTCTATAATATATAATACTCTCTTTGAATTTGCCAATTCACTTTCTTTTTGGGTGTGATACGTTGTTAGTCTTGAGATACTTGAACATTATAGTTCATATTTAATTGCTTCATCTAACACTTCACTTTCTTTTTGGGTGTGATACGTTGTTAGTCTTGAGATACTTGAACATTATAGTTCATATTTAATTGCTTCATCTTACACTTCTCTGTAACATCTGGTTTTTACTGTTAACTTTTTGAGCATTCAAGCTAGAACTACCATCTTAATCTCTGCAGGTGTACCGATCATGCACCAGAAGATGTACCTATGGCATTAGATAAATCATTGGAAGAATTGCAACTTGACTATCTTGATTTGTATCTTGTACGTAATTTTTCATCATATTAACCTTTTATTAAGTTTTTACTATTTAAGAGTGGATGCAAGATCTGAATCAAATAAATTCTTATATCCATAATAATTCAGATTCCTTAATCTGTAGACATCTTCTATGGTAACCTTAAAGCCATTTTTGAGTTATGAAGACAATTAAAGCTGCTTTAACTAATGGTTATTTAGTTGCTTACGCTGTTTTCGAAGTTGAAACGATGTGTAAGAGTTTTAATGGGCTGTATAATTGGCTCTCTAATTTGAGGGGATATTTTGCTCTCTGTTTGAAAGTTATATCATTAGGCTACTGAATCGCTCTGTCTACTTGTGAAGATTCATTGGCCTGTCCGAAGGAGGAAGGGGTCTGTTGGCTTTAAACCAGAAGATCTTGTTCCTGCGGATATACCAAACACATGGAAGGCCATGGAAGCACTCTATGATGCTGGTAAGGCCCGGGCTATTGGGGTTAGCAATTTCTCCACCAAAAAGCTGGGCGATCTATTGGATGTAGCTCGTATTCCACCAGCTGTCAACCAAATTGAGTGCCATCCATCATGGCAGCAGACCAAACTGCGAGAATTCTGTAAATCCAAGGGAGTTCACCTCTCCGTGAGTTGGCTAAACTCGTTTAATTAAGACTGAACCAAGCAATGGGGAAACCCATCATTCTAAGTTCAAACGGAGATTGGTTTATCTTTTATTTGTTGTATTTTGATTAACCTGTTAATTTTTCTTAAGGGATATTCACCACTTGGCTCGCCTGGCACAGTATGGCTTAAAAGTGATGTCATCAAACATCCTGTTATAGTTACTACTGCAGAAAAATTGGGTAAAACACCCGCACAGGTTGCCATTCGATGGGGTTTACAGATGGGCCATAGCGTACTTCCCAAGAGCACACATGAATCAAGGATTAAAGAGAACTTTGATGTTTTTGATTGGTCTATACCCGATGACTTATTTGCCAAGTTCTCCAAAATTGATCAGGCAAGTTATGTCATTTACATTAAACCCTTTGAGATTTTATGGGTATATAACTGGCCGCTGTAAATAATGCAAAAATCTATTTTGCAAATGCAGCTGAGAAGAGTTAGATATTAGATAAAGAGTTCTCCTTAGAAATTTTATGATTTGTCCCCATCATGTGAAACTCCTATAGTTTGTCTTTAACTATTATGTTTCTTCCTTTACCTACCAATATAATTCAAAGATTTATACAGCATCACCAACAATTAAGATTCTGATGTTAAATTTTTTGCCCAGATGCTTCACATCTAGACCGTTTTCTACAAAGCAAACAAAATTTTGACAACTTAGGCCTTTTCCTCCTTCAGCTCTTATAAAATGCTTATATTCTATTTCGGCAGGCAAGACTGATTAGAGGTACTTCATTTGTCGATGAGAAGTTCGGCTCATACAGAACTGTTGAAGATCTGTGGGATGGTGAGCTTTAAGCTTGCTGTTTAATGATGCATTTATGGAAGGATTGGCAAATATTTCATATTGTCATCATCTACAATATTATGAACTTGAAATAAATTTGTGCATCTAAGCAGGCTTTATTGCAAGCATTCTTAGTTAAAAACAAGGATGGACATTGATGTTCTGACATCTTATAATTGCTACTTGTTTTTAATTTCATCTCGGGAAATATAACATTTGTCAGTCATGCTTCCTTGAAGCTTGAAATTTGTCTTGATATTTAGTGCATATTTGACAACCATTGATTTATTTTATAGTTTGCTACATGATCAATTTCAACTACAAGTTCACACAATAAAATATGTTACACGTATACCAAAAACCTTTTTCAACTTTTTAACCACACATTTCCCTGAAAATCACTGTTCAGATCTCTTTTCTCTACAATAATGTTTGTCAAACACTCTTTAAGGAGTTCAAATTATTTTTTTAATTTTCATTCTTTCTATGGTGCCAAAGTTATGACCGTGCGTGCAAAGATATATCTCACCTTGAATTTTCATCTGGATTTGTGTCATTTGACTTGATCTATATGCTAAGAATACAATCTTGTGTCCTTCAATTCATATATCTGCGAACAGCATTCTCTACACATGTAGGCAAGAGAATTCTGTGTGTTGTTGCGCGTGCCTGGCCCAGGCACAATTACTTAAATGTAATGTACGATCCAAATACATAAAAACTTGAGAAAATTTAGATGATGGTAAAGAAAGATTACCTGCACATAAAAATCATTGTTGGGACGAAATCATATTGATGAGAATTTTCGCACCCACATAACCACCATCACAACCACAACCATAGCCACCACCGCCACTGCTCGTGTCTTGATGAGACCGGGTTTTGGCACTACGACAGCAGCAAACCAGACCTATCAATAGCATGAAGCCCCATGCTTTGGCCAAGGCTTGTGCCCAACTCAAGTAATATCCCATCCTTGCTCCTTGACTCCTCTCTTTCTCATTTTAGTACCTTCCCAGAGATTAAAACCCAATTTCGTTTTAATCCATTATATTGGTGTAATCAGTTGACCCTGTACAAGCAGCAAAACTCAATAAGTTAATCCAAAATATTGGTAAAGTTTTCGAGTTAGCCAGATCAACTTTTCCCACTGTCTTGAAGCCTTCTATTAAACTTGCCAAGTGTCCCAGTTGCTAGATCTTTTAGAATATATGATGACCTCCGAAGATTATTAAGATTGTTTAAAGGTCTAAATATAAATTGTGTATCAAATTTTTTTAAGATCACTATGCCTCTGATGGACTGTTTTGTGTAAATTAAAATTAGATTTTTTTTTAGATTTTAATAAAATTTTATGAAATATGTTTAAAAACTGTGGATACCATAAAATGGTGATTAAAATTAATTGTTAATTTTGACCTTGAATTTTAATCTATTCCAAACAAGTATGTAATTCTAAATGAGGTGATGACAACTCTTGAACGAGTTCCATAAGCTTGAGTAGTCAAACCACTGTGATAAGTTGGGGGAGACAAAAGTCTTTTCATGGTCCAAAATTATTTGATTGAAAGAATGTGTGATCGTAAATGAATTAAAATAAATTTTAGGACTAAATGATAAAAGTGTTTATAAAAAGCCAAAGGAGCGGCATCAACCGGTGATAAATGCACACGTGTCCTGCGGTATTCTTTTTGGGAAATTTCTACTTTATTCTGTCCTTCATTTCAATCATATTATAGTTATTCTGTCTCCATTTTATGAAATAACACCACTTTATAGCTACTTGATCTCTCATGAATGTTTCGTTCATTTGAGTGTTAAAAAATTAAAAATAATTAAAAATTTATTTTTAATTATAATACAAATTAAAAACATAACTCATTTTTTGAGAAGACAAAAGTTCTCTCATTGCCCCATGGTCGCCCCTTCTTTAGGAGAAGGAAACGGGTTAGGGTGAGGATGGATGGCAACAAATAGACAGGGGATGAATGAATTCTGCTACTTGTATAAAAAATGTATGTAATGGATGACGTAATGTAATGTGAAGGGAAAAAAATTGAATGAATAAGTTGATTGTGTTTTAAATTGACAAATGATATATCGCCATGTGACATTATGTAAATTTTGATGTGGATGTAGCAAGATTATTCTAGCATATATAATCGAATTAAGCTAAATAAACATAATAATTGACATATGGGTTAACCGACCCCTCACGTTACGTGTGGGTCCCGACCTATAGATAGGAGAGCGAAAGGACACCATCTGTCAACCAAATTATTTGATTAGAAATAAATTTTGCACGTTCTCGTCACCAATTGATTACACAAATTAAGAACATGCTTTTTGACCATGGCCATGAAATCCTGCAAGGAACCAATCAGATCCTATAACATCAAATCATTCCCCATTTTGCAACATTGATCTTCAGTGTTAATAAAAAAACATGTGTTTTTTAAGATTAAGGTTAACTAGCTATTGGAGGAAATGAGGTAACAGCAATGACTAATGATATAAAATTAAGGTTGACGAAAAAATATTCATCTTCTTCGATTCACCCAACCTCAACTCTAAACCCATAATCCGCCCATAAAATAAATCTCCTCTACCTTGATTGGTAAGCCTAAAAATAGCCATCATTGCCGCCTCATTTCCTCCAACCCGTGGACTTCGTTTTTCCTATTCCCATCAACTACATTTCCTCATAACAAGAACCTTCGAAGAATTGAGAATAAATAAATAATTTCTCTTCCAAATTGACACTAGTGGCTGTGGCGAAGGTTTCACACCTACCATTGAGTAATGTTAGGGGTTAGACGTTGTGGTTGGGGGTCGAGAAAAATGAATATTTTTATTAACTGAAAAAGATTTTTGGGTTGAAATTGGTCGAGGTCTTTCTACTGCACATTTATTAAGGTTTGGAACTTCGGCCAAACATTTTTGAAAGGTTTGAAATTTTTGACGCAAATTATTCTTTTTAAAGAATAAAATGTTAAAAGACCATTTTACCTTTTTAAAATTTGGTCAAATTATGGTCAAATACTGACTTTTGGTCAACTAACAATTTTTTTTTTTTTTTTCAAAAATAGTCCAAAGATTCTTTCGTTGCATCGTTTTGAAAAGTTTGGGACCAACTTTACTACAAATCAAAGGTTTGAATAAAACATACACATATTTGAAAAAATTGAAATGTTTGAATCTCTCGCTGCAATTATCCCTTACTTCCATGGTGAGAAATCAAGTAACATGACTAAAATTCACTCTTAAATATGATAGTCGCCTATACAACGTAGAATTTGTCATTGCAAACTTATGGATTGAATTTTATCTACAAATAATCTCGTTCGATTACGTGATTTGAGAGAATGCTCATCTTCTTTACATCTAGTACTTGTTTGGATTTTGATATGAGAATACTATAATGTAAATGTTAAAATCAAACTTTAATTTTAACTACAAATTTTGTAGGACTCACAACTACCATCCATTTATTCACACTTCAATTCCTATCAGATTTTAACTGCCTGTAATGAAATCCGAACAAGCACGAGCTACCACATTATACATTTATGGACCACCGTACTAATGGGTTGATAAGAAGATATTATATTTTCTTCTGCTTTTCATCTTTTGAGATTTAGTTTGCTCATTTAAATTTAATAAGACACGTTTTTTCCTTGGATATAAAGGGATTTTCCAATACCATCATGTTTTCATCTTGCGTTACAAGATAGTTTGTGCAATTATTTCTATTCTTAGGGTGTGTCTGGTGGGGCTTAAAAGGTGAATTTTAATAAAAAATTTAACCGTTACACATTTTCTTCTGATTAATAATGTCAGAATTGTAGGTAAGTGGCAGACATTTTTTCAGGCAAAATTCCACAACTGCCCTCAATAATTAAAACTCACCGACAGTCAGAAAATGAAAACGAGAGTAAACTTAGCAAGTGAACTATTGACCCTGCAATTGTCAGAAAATGAGACAGAATTTTGTTGGAACCAACGGTCGGATTTTTGATATTAATACAAAGGAAATCATTACCAGACACACCCTTAATGTATGCAAGGATCGAGTCGTCGAAGCAAGTGACGAAAATCTTCAAGTAAAAATTTTCAGATTCTGCGTTATGTTTGTATCTTTTCATAGACACAAGAGAAACTTTGTCTTTTTAAACTGAAGTCAAATCGATTTTTGGGGATGGAAGGGTGACGAAATGTACTTAGATTGAATATGGAGTAGTTAAATATCAAGATAACAAAATAAAAAGTTAAAAGTGCAATAAGTCTGAGGTACTGGGACCGTTTGTGCAATTTATCCAATTTAAAACACGCGTCCACTACTCTCCTCGTCACTTCCACCTCCTCCGTACCACGCACCTCATCTCCTGATCACTCGATTGAAACCCAAAACTAGAAGAGTATAAAGAGAAAGAAGCAAAAGCCAAACCCTTCTTCTTCGTCTTCGTCTTCGTCTTCGTCTTCTTACTTCTTTCAGCTGAAATAATTCGAAATTTCAATGGCTCAATTGACGAAGGGTAGCGATGGCGGGAGCTATTGTACGGTGGGTGATTACGTGGTGGGGAAGCAGATAGGAGTAGGGTCGTTCTCGACAGTATGGCATGCACGACATCGCGCCAACGGCACCGAAGTGGCAATTAAGGAGATCATTATTTCCAGGTTGAATTATAAACTCCGAGAGAGCCTCAAGTCCGAGATTTTCATCCTCAAGAAAATAAATCACCCTAACATCATTCGCTTGCACGACATGATCGAGGTCTAGTCCATTGCCTTTTTTTAATGTTCTGTTCATTTTACGAGGCTTTGGTAATTGGTATTTTAGTTTTCTGGGAATGATATTTGGCAGTTTTATGTCATCGTTGGGAGTACAAGTGTCGATGCTAGTGGTTGTAGTATTTTTTAGAACAACATGTTAAGCATTGGGTCCATCTTTAAAGGTCAACCTTATAACCTTATTGGGAGGAGTAGTCCAATCTTTATAACTTGGTTTATGTTTACATTTTTGACACTCAAGATGGTGTTTCGTTTGAGGATACCAATCTTGAAATCCGTATGCTCACTTTTGGAGTTCGAATGGAATTCCTTGTTAGAGCTTAATGGCTTCGATACCATTTTAAAACATCAACCTTGTTAAGGGGAGTAGTCCAATCCTTTATGAGTTGGTTTATGTTTACATTTTTATTCGATGTGAGATTCTATCCCGTGTAGTTTTTTGGAATATTGACTACAAAGTAGGAACCGAATAGTTTTCTTCAATATGAATGCGAGAATAGGCAATCATTAAATTAGGTATTCTTAGTAGAATTTCTTTCCACTGTATTTTTTTTTCTTTTGCTGTAAACAAAGACATAAGATTAACTTGGTTGCATGGATGAAATGGATATAGTGATAGAGAAAGAACTAGACCATTGCCTAACTTAGACAGAAAACTCCAAGAGGCTAAAGTGGGAGAATGGAAATGGAAAAGAATCAGAACAGAATTATGATGGTCAACATAGAGAAAAGGAAAATGACAAATGTTCCTTTTGTTGAGATTGAGGGTTAAACATTAGAATTTGCAGTTTCTTATGCTTCTGGACTTGCGGGTGTACATTTTTTTATGACTGGTTGGTTTTGAATGTACTTTTATATGTATCAGTGGGTGGTTTGCTGTTATTGTCTTTGAATAAAATTTTTACTCATTACAAGAAATGACTAAGGCACTAATTACTCTTTTGGGCTGCTGTTTATTGAGAATCATATCTTTCCAGATTCTTTTTCTTTATGATCACTTTGGTTAGATTAGGATATGCCTTCTGACCTTTTGAGTAGTATACCATTTGCAATGTTATTTTTGGTGCACCTTCATGTGCTTGAATCCTATAGGACAGATGCAACGCACAATAGCATAGGCATCTTCATTGAAACAATAATCACTTTGCAAATTTATTAGGAATATGGAAAGATGTACATCATTTTGGAGTACTGCAGAGGGGGTGACCTTTCGATGTATATTAACCAACATCATGGCCAAATCCCGGAAGCAATTGCAAAACACTTTATGCAGCAGCTAGGTATCTCTTTTTCTTTTTTCCACTACTTGGATTGTGGTTCACTCTAGAATGCAATTCTCATTATGTTTACTTATATATGCTACATGCTACAGCGGAGGGTCTAAAAATTCTTCGTGAAAACAACCTTATACATCGAGATCTAAAGCCCCAGGTATGAATTGAAATCCATTCTTACACTTATATTTCTACTTAATCTTGCGATTGTTTTAATAAAAGTAAACATGGTATTTCAACCCACAGCTTTATATAGATATCTTTAGATTGAGGGATAAAAGATGTCTTTAGAAGAAAGAGAAACAATATAATGGAAATTCAGGTCCTTCTCTGTATACTTATTTCGCCAGATCTTCCTACAAATTGCCATGAAAGTGTACCCTCTCGGTTAAAGTTCTGACATTTAAGTTTTTCTATCCCATCTCCTCCTCCCTCGTGTCTGTAAATAACTAATGCTAGAAACATTTCTTTTTCTCAAATGTATATTACTAATAAAATAATAGGCTATCATTATTATGGTACATCTAGGTTAGGTCCTTCATGTAAGTGAGGTTCATGAAGTAGTACTTTTCTTCTGGACTGTTTCTTCTCTTAAGTTGAAGCTAATATTCTGGTGCATAGCTAATCTTTTTCTGGTAGAAGACTAATACTAGAAGCATTCCTTGAAATTGCTTTATTTTACTTGTGAGATGGAGCTGTGGAATAAGTTGGATTTAGCAGTAGAAGAACAATATAATTTGAATGATGATCTGATGTGCTTTTGCTGTACGTCCGCGCTTTATTAATCATTTTATTTCTTATGAACGAACTATGTGTTTTCTTCGCTTAATATGTTATACTTCTGGAAGTGATGATTTCAAGTTTTCATACAGAATTCAGGATGCAGTAATATTCTTTAAAATACCAAATGGGCATTTTATATTGACATGTTCCATTTATGTGCATTTCACACCTCGAACAGAATCTCCTCCTGTCCACGAATGACGACAAATCTGTTCTCAAGATTGCTGATTTTGGCTTTGCAAGGTAGAGATTTAGTCTTTGACATAAATGTTTTCTGGCTCGTCATCATTACGCCTGTGCTAATTATGGAAGACTGTAGGCACATCAAATTATACTGTAACGTTCTTTCTATCTCCTGCAGTGCGAATGTGCGTGCGGGGGGGGGGGGGGGGGATGGGGAACTTGCACTACCAGCTGCACTTCAGTGTACTGTTTGTAACCCTCTTTTATCTGCTGAATGCTGATGTTTTTGCTTTTTGGGGTATTTTCTCTTGAAGAATTTGGAAGGTGTCAATATCGACAGATATTTGGTTCTATCATATATATATATATATATATGTATGTATGTATTACATTTTATCTTCCATTTTTTGGTCGACTAATCATTTTATATGGATTATATACAAGTTTATGATCATGATTTTGAAGGGTCAGTGACATAAGAGCACAAGGATAGTCTTCTCTCAACTGAAAAGAATGGTGCTCTTAGCTTGGCCTTAGCTGGATTGTGATCATGAATAATGCATAAATCACGATGGTGGCTGAAGGACAGAGGCTGCTTTATGAAAACACTAGCATAATTTGGATAAAACTATTGTATTATGGTTACTAACACAAGGCTTTTTAATACTGTGATAGATATATGCTTTTGGTCCAGAGATTTTCTTGATTCATTTTTTCTAGCAGTTTGAATTTTTGTATTATTTCCGAATTTGGAATTACTTCTGTTAAACATTCATATTGTTTAATTACTCCCACTTTTCCTTTTTCTATTTTAACTTGCATTCTTGTATATTCCTTTCTATCCCTGATTATTTTTATGTACTTAGCCCCTGTTTCAGCCACATTAACATTTTCATTCTCATCTTTCTACTTATTTTCAACCACACATTCTTCAATAAAATAATATTTTCCATCACATCAATAACTTTTCCTTCTTTTTCAACCACACATTCTCAATTAATCTATCATTCCAAAATGCATTCTTCCAAAATAATGTGGTTCAAACACACCATTAAATAATTAGTGGTTAAGTTATTTGTATCTATTAATGTACGCACTTTCTTTGGCATGAATCAAGATACATTGGCATGATTATCTGCATAAATATGAAGTTTCCTATTCAGAAGTTCCTTTTCCTTTTGCCAGATCTCTACAACCTAGAGGCCTTGCAGAAACCTTATGCGGTTCACCACTATATATGGCTCCTGAGATTATGCAACTGAAAAAATATGATGCAAAGGTGACATTCATCTTTTAGATATGCGAGCAGCCATCCATCATCTTATACCGTATTAATTCTATGCTAAAAATGCAGGCAGATCTCTGGAGTGTTGGCGCCATTCTGTTTCAGCTTGTCACAGGTAGAACCCCATATACTGGGAACAATCCGATACAGGTTTGTCTTTTCATGCAACTAAAATAGTTTGTCAATCTTTCATATCAAATTCTTTTGGTGAAAATTTAATCACAAATCCAATGCTATAATGCATTTTGCAGCTGTTCCAGAACATTGTAAAATCAACTGAATTGCAATTCCCACCCGATGTGAAGAATTTGAATCCTCACTGCATTGACTTGTGTAGGAAATTGCTACGCCGCAATCCAGGTACTCAACATATTTAACATTTTGATGTACATGATGGAGTTATGAGTATATTAATTTAAAAAATGATTTTGTGACATTCACGGTGGATTAAAATGAATATAATTTACCCTTCAACCAAAAATTAAGTAAAAATCTGATCATAGAGATTTCTCCAAAAGTAACATGGCTGATCTTAGTTGTATTAGATCTTCCAGAAAATGTAGCAATGCATTGAATGGAGTACAGACCCGAAAGAGGCTTAGTTTGTTCTTGTTGTTTACTCTGGGGATAACTCCGAAGGAATTATGCTTCAACTGTTGTTGACATTGTAGTATACATATTTGAATGGAAGACCATGATTTATAGCATGGTACATGACCCTGCAGCCTCAATTCAGCGTTCTTTCGTGCCTCAAACTCTTATGTTACTCGGATAGCAGTAATTTCGAGTATTACAGTCTACAATTTATTTTAGCTTAAATAAATTTGTACTTTTCACGGTTAACTTCAAACAAGGTTATTCTATGGAAGTGACATTTAAGGACTTTGATTAATTTATGTTCTTAATAAGCAACCATTGTAATAACCATATTGCATGGCTTACATCTAGCATTTTATTGCAACATTTATTAGTACTTTTGGTTTACAAGTATCAAGATAAAGCAAGCATCCGGGAATAATATGATGGATTTTAAATTTTAAACTCTCATTTTACTATTTTTAGGTTTTATAATTGACTGTCCTAATTACTCTTCAATACCTTGTGATGCGCAGTGGAGCGGTTGACGTTTGAAGAATTTTTCAACCATCCATATCTTTCTATGAGGCGGCCAGATATATCATTCAGGTAATTGGGGTTTTAAAATCCACGTTCCATTTGTCTTGAGCACACAAGAATTTTTTGTGCTGCTTGTAAAGACAGTTGTTTGCTTACGTAGGAATAGGAATTCAAAGAGTAATATAGGTTTCCCTTTTCTGAAAGGAACACAGAAGAAAGTTCACAAGAAGATTGCTTTCCCTTCCATAAAGATGACTCCTGTGGGCCCGACAAGAGTCCATCTTCTGTAGGGAGTTCAACCGTGAGATACACATATGGATTTTCTCTCGACTCAAAACCTGACAGGAGGGAATTGTCTAATATCTTTAATAAAATGGATCTTTGTTCCAAGTACAGTAATTCCCACCCATGTAAACCAGAAACTATAGGATCTGGTCTTGGCAGCTGCCAACTTTCTGAAGGAAACTTGAAAGAATCTCTGAAAACCAGAGACCTTGGATCAGTAAATTATAACTTAAAAGGTGCCTTTTATTAGTGCTCTCTTTCTCATATTGACTAAACATTGCCTAAATTTACTGTTGGTTAATAGATTACTTTCATTGTGTTGGACCTACTCAACAGTTGTGGATTTGATGGATTCAGATCAAGATTATGTCCTCGTGTCCATTCCCACAATGGAGTCATCATCTGTACATACCTCTAAGACTAGTTGTTTGCCTTCTAAATCTGGTAGTTCGCCACTTGACTTTGGACAGGTGAACTCAACACCAAGTGCTCCAATCTCAATGGTTGGTGCGGCAACTAGTATAGTGGATCACATTGTAAATTTAGACAGTCACAGCTCTGCTCTTGGGACGTCACAGGGATCAATCAACATAGTATACACTTCAGAACTTCCATCAACTGATTGCGTGACAAGGATCAAGTCATTGCAGAGTTGTGCATCAGCCATAATTGAATTAGTGACTGAAAAGGTATGTATAGCACTTCCTCAGACTTAAATGCAAATTTGCTTCCCTTTTTTTTTTTTTGGATAAGCAAAATGATGGCCATCTCCCATGCCATGATTTTGGAGCTTGAAACTTGGGTTCTCTCTGCAAAGCTTTATAATTTGGTGTAGACGTCTAATTTATCTATTAAGCATTTGGCCCTCAGAATTGCTCGTATTTATATGCCTGTATAAATACTAAATAGTCTTGTCTTGCTTCATTGTTTCTCCTGTAGATACAGCACTGCTTTGAGTTTTGCCATAGTTCTACTCTCTTATTTTTGACATTTTACCAGTATCATGTTAATTGTTATTCCCGGTAATTTTATTTTTCACTTTCTTGATGCTTAATAGGTTTTCTTATATTTGCAAAAGTCAACATAAATCTGTTTCGTATCTAATTGAACACTCACAAGCCTATTGACACAATTTTTTAAAAATATTATTTTTAAGCTGACCAGATTATTTCATTCTCTTATGGCCAAGCACATTGTTATCAGAACTATGGGTTGCCTTCAACTTGATCCTGAGAACTTTCCTTGCTGTGTAAGTGTAACCATGTTGAACGACCAATTCATTTGAGAGCTTAAGCTTTTATCTTTATTTATTATTTTCTACAAATTCCATGTTGAGGACTAAAACTCAGTTGATACCTTTATCCATCAATCTAAATGGTATTTAGTGTTGTCAAGTAATTTAATGCATTTAAGATTAACAAAGCTAAAAACCTAACTCAAAGAAGCAGTCTATATCATGTTAGATTATTAGATTCTGGTATTTCAGCACAAATTCCCCAGTAATACTGCACATAGACCTAATATGTGGACCCTATATGTATTAATGTCATTTTGTGATTTGTGATCTTGGTTTGCCTCGTCAAGGCATTGTGAAGCTCAGCTGATTTACCTATTTATATTATTGACATGAATCAAATGATGGTCTAGTTGATGTTGCTATTTTTTGTTAGATTGAAGCAGGAGAACATCTAGATGCATTCTCAATTCAGCTTGTGATTCTTGCCATATGGAAGCAAGCATTGCATATTTGTCACACTCGAGCAGCATCAGCCATTGAAGGAAGTTCGACACAGGAGATTACAGAATTGAGGGTAATCTCGAACGTGCAGCATAATCATGTTGTCCAAGAGTCTCGTGACACAACTAACACTAAGTGGCTGGTGGAGACATGTTCTCAAATCGAGAGAGCATTTCTAAATGAAGTGGGAAACGCCGAGGAACTTGCTAAAGTAGTGGACACTGGTATGCATTTTAATTTTTTGATTTTTATTTTCTGCTGGCTGTGAAGGCATTTATGCCACTTTTGTTGTCTGGGATAGGAGATTTTGAGATGCCAGATCCAATGGAGTTGATATACCGATCTGCCCTATCTTTCGGCAGACATGCAGCTGTGAGTATCTATTTTCTTTGGTGCTAGCAATTTCAGGGAATTGAATTCCATGATAAAATGAGTATATTGTTATATTCATAGAAGTACACTGCTGTAGAATGACTAAATTAGTTTTTGGAGTGATCAGAATTTTGTCTTCCTCTGGCTGCCACTGAACTGGTCGTCACACTGCAAAGATCCAGATGTGCACGCTCCATAATGATGGAAATACACCCATTTACGTGTTTGATTTACTTCTAATAAATTTAGTAGATGAAAATGATGAATCTCTTGCACTACAGTAAGGGAAAAAATAATCCTTGGTAATTAGTATGGTATTGCATTATTTCTGTCATACTTCCATCTTTGTTATTGATTAATTTTTTGCAATTCTACCTAGGAAACTTTACTTGATGCAACAATTTAGGACTTTAATTTAATGAGAGTTCTGAAACATTTACACATAGATTGCTGAAATTTTGATTTGGGGAATGCTGAAACTTATATGCAATTTCTAAAATTGTTTATTTGTGCATGAGATTTGCAGGTTGACGAGTATATGGGCAATACAGAAGTTGCCGTAACTTGTTATTCAAAAGCAGTTCAGTTATTGACATTTCTTCTGGCTGAAGCACCGTTCCTCGTTCTAAACCCCCCTTTTTCTCTCAAAAGCTCAGATCGGCATAGGATTCAGAATTACATTGATGTCCTTAATAAGAGGCAGCGTATTTCAGAGTCACGAAGAGTGGCCATCCTCAAGTATGAGGATCAGCCATCCCCACCATGAAAACCAGTGCAGAGGAACTGGTAAATACCAAACTGGGAAAGACAGTCATTCTTCACTGTAAATATTTTTCTATATGGCAATATCTAATTCTTTCAGTCTCTGGGGGCGTAAGATGAATCGCTTTGTCCATGGGATGAAAGATTATTTTGTAAATATACATATGTAACTCGAAGAATGCTGAAGTGTACTCAATTTTATAGCAAGTTCTGATTGTTAACAAGTTATGTTGCGTTTGAATTAAATTGATAACACATTTAACGGAACTAATTACAACATCACCGATCCAAATCTGTTGACAAATTATGTATAACCGATCTTTCCTACACTATACAACGCGTCAATTTTCAGATGGAACGAACAAGGCAAATCTGATCTAACATTCTGAAATCAGTCTTTTTTAACAGCAAGAAGTTCCGAGATCCTAGCTGTTGTTGGCTCGAGTGGCATCGGAAAGTCTACTCTCCTATGAGTTGTTTCCGGGAGGGTAAGAGTAAGAAAATTTGATCTGGAGAGTACTTCACTTAATGGTCATGCACTAAGTAGTCAAGCTCAGCTGAGGAATACGTGGATTTGTAGCTCAAGAAGACACTCAACTGTCAAGGGAACACTGATGTTTGGTGCAAAGTTTAGGCTCAAAGAAACGAGTAATGGAGAGAGCGCCAAGTCAAGGGCTTGATGCAAGAACTCGGCCTTGTTCATGTGGCAGATAGTTTCGCTAGGGATGAGAAAAACCGAGGGATTTCCGGTGGAGAAAGAGAGAGGCTATCAATTGGCGTAGACACGATTCACGATTCACGATTCACATATTTTTCTCCTAGATGTAACGAACTTCAAGGCTAGATAGCACTTCAGCTCTTCAAGTTATCGCATCGCTTTCCTCCATGGCTCAAGTTGAACAAAGAACCATAGTCTTGTTAATTCACCAGCCAAGCTGTTAGGATTCTTCAATACATTTCCAATTTCTCGATTCTTTATAAGGGCTCTGCAGCCCACAATGCTTCACTTGAATCATTGGAAGAAACTATTACATGATTGGGATATAAAATTATAGAGCAAATAAATGCCCTAGAGTTGTCCATGGAAATTATTTCTAGGCTAGAAAAGTCGTACTCGAAAAATCTTCTCTTGGTAACATAGTCGGACCTAAGGAGAGGCCCAAGATGCTGCCGCCTCTAACCTAGCTCTTTAGGGAACCCAGTTTTTTTTGGTTGCTAAAACCCAATGATTACGTTCAAAACCTCAAATAACTGTCCAGCTAAAATAAAACCTAGACCTCCTCTTAAATTCGCAACTTCTCCGAAATCCAACTAGTTTATATTTGTTCACTTTGGCTCCAAACAAATATCGTGAATCAGGTAATAATTTTGTATACATTTGAAGTTAAATTGCTTGATTTTTTTTGTTGATTTACCCATTCTGTTCTATTGATTTTGTTTTATGTATATGATTGGAGCGAAAATTAATTGGTTGTTAGTATATCTGGATTTCCATCCATTAGTTTCTAATGACATTTACAAATTCTACAATTTTTAGCTTAATCGATTTTTATGAAATAAAACATTTTAATGGATTTCTATTAATTTCTACATTGTGTGCGCACCTTTTTTTATTTTTCTATTTGAAAAACTCTATATTTTATGGCTGTGTAAGAAAGGAAGAGCCACCGATGGTTGAGAGTTTGGGAAATTAAATAAATCGATTGTTTTATTGTTCATACAAATATTTTCAATAATGTGTTTGTTTGTGGGATTATCTACTTTGTTTCGTTGGATTTATATTACTCTGTTATTTGGTCCTTGTTTTGGTGTAGAATGTGTGTGGTGGTTTTGGGGGTACTATAGGGTTTGGATTAGGAATACTCATTCCATTGTGTAACAAAAGTGAGGATATGCACACTTGCTGCCAATTTGAGTGCACTTTACACTCTTTTCTTGTATCAAAATTTCCACATGCTTTTTTTGATTGACTCGAGTCAAATATCAAGGCTCTTAAATGTGTCTAGGGCTAAAAAAAAAAAAAAAAGAGAGAGACAAAAGAGTAAAGGCATTAGTTCGAAGCCGACTTTAGATATGGATAAGTACTTTAATGACAAAAAAGAAAAGAGAAAGAGGGAACATCGAAAAATTTAGTGATTTAGGAACAACAGGATCAGAGTGATAATTATAATTTGGATGAACCAAAAGAGAATGAGGAAATGATTGAACCTGCCAATGTGAATGAATCAAAACAGAACGATGAAGATAATGCTCAACATGAAGATTTAAATTAAGAGAATTGCTTTTGTTGTTCGACGCCAATTCAAAGGAGCTCAAAGTCTAAAGTTTGCCTCTCGGGCCCTGCTTTCGTATTTTTCTTGTTTGTGGTTTGGCTTGTTGTACTCATGGTGTTGTTCTTCAGTTTTATTTCTCCAAATTTCATCTCAGGGAATTCTCTGATTTGCACAGTTCTTGGTGCGTTCTTCCTTTTCTTTTTCCATTTTTTTTTTATGATACTTCATTTCGTAAGAGTTGATTCCAAAACACTTGCCCTTCATGTTCTATTTATTTTGTTGGACTCCATGCTCATGAATGAGTATTGGAGTGAGAGACACGAATGTCTCTCTCAAAATGGCGATCAGTTGGAATGCATGCTTGTGGAATGGGAAGAGTGGAGGACTTGACAAGGACATGAGGTGGATGAATGTTGGCCTTTGGCTTGTTTTATTGAATTCTTTCTTGCATAATTCATTTTTTTTATGACTCAGTTGTTCAAGTTTTGCCCGACTAATCTTGAGGAGTGGTAGCTTTCCTTCCTGGTTCATCATCCGAGTGAATCCAGATGCGGTCACAACTTATACACACTTGATCCGGACATTCGACAGTTTTCCTCCCTGTAGACTTCTGCCTTCCAACATAGATGTTGTCTTCCAACTGCCGCAGAGATTCGAACATTCGAAACTCCGTAGAGAATCCTTCTTGCATAATTCTTGCACGGAGGGCAGTTATGTCAAAGTGACTTGCAGCTTCAACGGATCGGGCTCAGTCCGAAAAAAGTTCGAACCGAGCCTCTCATGGCTTGGGACCATTGAGCCCGAGCTAACCTTGTGGCTAGTCGAGCCACATGGGTAGGCCTGTGCCATGGGCCATTTTGTGCCTGGACGAGCAGAGTTTCATTAAAAAAAATTTAAAAATTTTAAAACAATACATTAAAAAAAGAATGAGTTGGATCGATCGAGCCAAAAAAAGCCCAACTATTTTTGCTCGAGCCAAACCCGAGTTTCGAATTTCAGCTCGTGGCTCGACTCGGCTCATCTCATTGATAGCCCTAATGGAGGGCGTCAAAAGCAACATTATGAGATTGTAATATTTGAGAAAATGGTTCATTTGACGTAACGTTGCTGACCATCATAGTTTAATGTGAAAACTCTTGTTTTATATAAATTATTGAATGGATAGTCTCACAGATTTAGAAAATGATAATAGGAGCCATGCCTTTTTTTTCATGTCCATTTTCTATTTTTTTTCGTTTTCTAGACTTTGTATGCAAAACTCGAGATACGACGATCTTGCTCAATTTGATCTGAAAATTGAATGAATATTCAGGTCGAGAAGAAGAGAACAATTAGAAGCACACCAAAAAAGCAAGCAGAGCTCATAGCAGAACAAAATCAAAACAAAATTGCCATTGGGGCTAATGAAGAAGCAGGGCATCCAATGCGGCGACAGGGAATGAGAATGTTAGGTTGATGGGAGAGTATATGGTTCCACCGATCGTGGAAAGCCAATCCAATATCGTGTATTCGGCATTTGGTCAAGCAAATTTTTCAGTTAAGGATGGATGTGATCAGTATGTTCCAGAATGCACTACAATTTTTTGGATAAATAACCTATAAATGATTTAATTTAGCACATGTTTGGTAGAGATTTGAATTTGAATTTAGATTTTAATTTAAATCAAAGTTAACAATTAATTTTAATCATATATTTTATGAGACTAATAACTTTTTAACTACTCATTTAATTAACTTTTATCTAAATTCACTAAAAAATGATTTCTGTCCCCCAAACAAGGATAACCACACATTTTACCGACCTACGAGTACAATATAATTAACTATCATTTATTTTTATTTATTTATAAATTAAATCATTTATAAATTCTTTTCAATCGGATAATAATTTTTTTTTCTCTCCTTTTTCATTTAAATACAAGCTTGTGTAGTTCTATTAACGTGAATCAATCGGGAAGAAAAATCATAAATAAGGTGTATAGGTTACACCAATTCAAAAATCAGGTTTATAGTTTGAAAATTCAAAAATCAAGTTTTTTTGAAAGTTTTTATTTATGAAATAATAAATTATTAAATATTTAATTCTAATATAATATAATATAATTAATCCACCCCCACCTACACCACCCCGCTCCGGGGACTTTCCGGCGACCATTTCGACTACCACTCTTCTTCTGCGATTGTTCCGGCGATCGTTCTGAAGACCGTTTCGACGACTGCTCCGATTTCGACAACTATTCTGGCGATCATTCTGGTCACAGATTTACAATTTAGTCAGTCACATATTATTTTTTAGTTACAAATTATAATTTTTATAAGTCACATATTATTTTACGGTCACAATTTAAAAATTTTGTAGGTCGTCATAAATTTCAAAATTAGTTGGTCACAAATCAAATTTTATAAGTCACACGGTCACAAATTTCAAAATTAGTTGGTTACATATTTTTTCAAAGTCACAGATTATATAATTTTTAGGTCACAGATAACAAAATTATTGGTTACAGATTATATTTTAGTCACATATTACGAATTTTAGTCACATAACTTGTTGCTGGTGGTGGTGTTGTTGAGTTGGCAGTACTGATGGTGTCATTGTTGCATTTGATGAAGATTGTAAAACTAAATTTCCACCATAACCTTAACTAGCACTGCTGTCACCACCACCTCAACAACACCACCACTACCACCTGCAAAAACCATCCACAAAACCACATCCTAAATCACAGCA